AAATAGTATTAGGGTTCTATAACCTTTGAACATTTTGAGAATAAACCATAAGCCTTTAATTTCTAGTACTCGGAGTTCAAAAACTTTCAAACGTCTGGGTCTGAGGTCCTATTATAATGGAAAATGTTAGTTTACGCAAAATTATTTATTTTTACTAGTTATTTATTTATTTATTCTTACCTTTTATGAATTTTTCTCTCATAAAAGAAAAAAATGAAAATAATCCGTAATAAATACCAATTCAATCACGCATGCATTCCTAACAATTTTTTATGTTTCAAAATTTCCAAAAATGAATAAGAAATTTGTTTTTAACTACAAAACAAGAAATAATATCAAAAAAATGTAACAAAAAATTATTCAATAGAATACAGATTAAGATTTCTTATTCTTTTGGAAGAGTGAAATCAAGTATTTTCTATATTTAATATTTTATTAACATATAAAAATTATTTGTTACAATATTGTATAATATGTTATGAAATAAAAATAATAGAACAAGAAGAGAATAAAATATAAGAGTTAAAACTCATATGTGTATTTTATTGAAAATCAAGATCAATATTTATAGGGTCTAAAATAAGAGTTACAACTGAAATGAAATAGACTTTCTGAACTAGATAAAATTTATCTATATATTATGATAATACTAAATAATCATCAATAATTATCTCATTATTTTACAACACTCCTCATTTGATAAAAATTTAATGGGACAAAAAATCAAACGAAGAAAAAATAGTGCAATTATTTTGGAGTATTAAAAATAAATATCTCTTCATTAAAATCTTACTAGGAAAATTCAATGAGATAAAATATAAGCGAAGGAAAAATAGTACAATTACTCTCTCTGATATTGATCACTGAAAATCTTTGAATCGACGCATTCCAATCTTGTGAACCAATTTCTTAAATGTAAATTTTAGTGGTACTTTTGTAATAAATTAGCCACATTGTCACTTGAACGAATTTTTTGAATATTGATATCGTCACATTTCTGAAACTCGTATGTATGAAAGAATTTGGAGAAATATGTTTCGTCATGTCACCTTTGATATAACATTCTTAGTTGTGCAATACAAACAACATTATCTTTATACAAAATTGTTGGACTATTTTTTGTTGAAATTAATCTGCATAATGCTTGGATGTAATATGTCATGTTCCTCAACCATACACATTCTCGGCCACTTCATGTATTGCAATAATTTCAGAATGATTTAAGGATATTGCTGTCAATGATTGTTTCACATATCTCCATGATAAAGATGTTCCTCCATATGTAAACACGTATTATATTTGTGATTTAGTTTTATGTCGGTCAAAGAGATAATCTGCATGTGCATCTGCATATCCCACTAGAGCAGATCCCGACTTTTGAGAATAAAATAATCTCAAATCAATAGTACCCTTTAGGTAACAAAAAATATATTTAACACAATTTTAATATCTTTGTGTTGGTGTAAAGATATAATTTGCAAGAAGATTTACAGAAAAAACTATGTGAGGTCGAGTACAGATTACAAGATAAATTAATGTTCTAATTGCACTAGGATATGGTACTTCAGGACTAATAATCTTTTCTCCATCTTCAAATAGACGAAAATGATCATTTTTCACATCAAGTGATCGAACGACCACAGGTGATGCCAATGAATGTGCATTATCTATATAAAATCATTTTATAACATTTTCTATATATATAGATTGATGAACAAATAATTCTTTTGGAAAATGTTCAATCTGCAATTCGAGACAGAATTTAATTTTTCCAAAATCTTTCATCTCAAATTCATTTTTAAAGTAATTTGCAATTTTATTGAACTATTCAAAAGTTCCAATTAAATTTAAATCATCAACATAAACTGATACAATTGCAAATTCAATATTTGTTTTCTTTATGAAGACACGTGGGCAGACATCATCATTTTTATAGTCTTCTTTCTATAAATATTCTCTGTAGCGATTATACCACACGTGTCCGGATTGTTTCAATCCATATAGTGATATTTACAATTTAATTGAAAACATGGTTTTCGGGTATGTATAATTTGTTTCTCGCACTTTAAATCCTCTAGGGACTTCCATATATATATGTCACTATCAAGTGAACCATACAAATATACAGTCACTACATCCATAAGGGGCATATCGAATTTTTGTGACACAGATAAACTAATTAAGAATCTAAAAATAATAGTGTCCATTACGTGGGAATATGTTTCATCATAATCAATTTCTTGTTTTGTGAGAAACATTGAGATACGAGTCGGGTTTTGTATCTTATAATTTCATTATTTTTATTTCTCTTTTGTACAAAAACTCATTTGTATCCAATAGGGATTACATTTTCAAATGTTCAACACTTTTCGTTTCTCTAAAGAATTTAATTCTCCCTGTATGGCTTCTTCCCATTTTAACCAATCATTTCTATTTTGGCAGACTTTAACAAATTGTAGTTTAGGATCCTCATTTTGCATTATATAAAGAGCCATGTTAAACGCGAAAATATTATTTATAACAACATTATTTTTTCTCCGTAATTTATGAGATAACATATAATTTATTGAAATCTCATTATTTTCGGACACTTCGATTCTTCAAGAACCATATTTTCAATATTTGATTGATTAGTCTTTTCTAATGTTACTTCTTCTAAATTTTTTGATTGGTTTATCTCNATTGATGTGGGTATCAAAGTGAGATAGATATGTTTCATTCCAAGAAATTTTACTTTGTTTATCAGGATATTGTTTTTTCCCTCCAAAATTTGGAAAGTCATTTCATCAAAATGACAATATGCAGAGCATGCAGTAAATAAATTAATCGTTAAAGGCTCAATATACCTAATAATAGATGGTGAATCAAAACTCATATAAATCCCAAGTTTTCGTTGAAGACTTATTTTAGTACGTTGTGGGGGGTGAAATAGAGATTTGAACATCACAACAAAAAACCAGCATGTGAGAAATATTAAGTTCATGACCAAATGCCAGTTGCAAAGGTGAATATTGATAATATGCAGTTGGTCTGATACGAACTAATGACGCAGTATGTAATATGGAATGACCCCAAACAGAATCTGGGAGTTTTGTTTTCATACGTAATGGTCTAACAATAACTTATAGACGTTTAATAAATGACTCACTATACCATTTTGTATATCAACATGTGCAATCAAATGTTCAGTAACAATCTCAATTGACATACAATAATTATCGAATCCTTGTGATCTAAATTCAGTAGCATTGTTAA